ATCTTTGATCGCCTCATTACTGTACATTTACTGTTCCGAGTTATTTTGCGCCACTGACTGTGTGAACCGAACCTTAATGAATAATAAAATTACGACAAGGCTTGAAATATGATAATTCGATCAAGTCCCTGGTTTTGATTGCAGTTCATAAATCTTGACTACATACATTAGGCAGTTGCAATTACTTTAAGCTTCAAGTATTTCGTATCATTTAAGTAGTTTTACAAAATGTCTAAAACACTATCACAAAAATTTGCCCAGAATTAGTGTAAAGACAGCTACCTCATGGCCATAAGATGTTGAATGTCCTTACCGTAATCTCACATTATGGAAAACAGTTGATGAACAAATATACTACATGCAGCATGTCGTTCGGTTCACCTTAAACTATTTGCAATTTGTACAGAATAATTGTGATCGAATATTCATGGACTCTACCGTCATTCCTTTAGACTGCCTCCTCAAAGTTCCAAGCACATTATTTTGAACAATCTGTCCAGCTTGAAAATTTTCCAAAATTATCATTTTTGAAGTGCAATGCCTTTACTTGCATTTCCCAACTAGCCTTTCAGGATTTTCAGAAACAGTTTTTCAGTGTGGCCATAAAAACAATGTTCGGTCTGCGCAAACCTCATAAAACCGGTGAGCGGTAGGTACCATCCAATGCACTTTTTCTCTTCGTGGTATTTCCTTAGCCATTTGAACAGGAATTGCAAGCTAGCCATGAATGCTATCCCCACAAGTGCACATTTCTGTGCTCAAGACTTGTAATTTTGTAGCAGCGAGCAGTCCTTTATTGTGTTGAATAAGTTTGGTGGGGAATGTTTCGCAATTCGAACATTTTTCAGAATTCTAGTGCATTTACGTAACACTCAATTTCTTCAAAACGATTCTTCTGATTTATAATACCTGGTTAGAAAGTTTTCCAAAGCTAATTGGGGAAGTGCAAAAATGTCTGTCTTCTTGCAACGACAACTACTTGAAGACTTTGAAGCAGTGGTATCAACGCAGAGTACTAAGATGTAAAAATGATCAATTCAGTATTTGCAGTAACTTGTGCGAAAGTGGTATCAACGCAGAGTACTAGGAAAGAGCGAAAAATCATGAACTAAACTATAAAGTACTTCTTCCAAGAGAAAAACCCACGGAAACTTTTTTTATAATCTTTTTACTTTCAGGAAACGATGCAGGTGGCTTCGTGTCGATATCTGACGGTTTCTTCACCTCGAAGCAGTTTCTTTTCAATTCCGTCTATTCTGGTTTTTGTCATCCAGATGGTAACTGACCGGGCTTCATCGGCATTGTAAAAGTTGTAGAAATTAGCAACAGATTTTCTTACATTCTGGCTTGCTTTTCTTATAGAGCACAGAAAGAACTGCCGATAGAAAAATATGAAAAGTCAGGGTGATTCGCAGTTTTCTTTGATATAGAGTTTTTCATTTTTTGGTACTGAAATGATAGTTTGAACTGTGATGGATGGAAATAAAGTTTTATACAGACTGCTCGCTATCCAACCCTTCAACAGACATGAAAACTGGATTGAGAAGCACATTTTCAGAAGGGACACTTGATCAGATTAAAGTACGAAGTTCTGCCCCATTAAGATCTTTTATCATAGCTGATGGATTTGAACTCAAGTATCCAGATGAGTATCATGAAGATGCATTCGTTTTATCCGTGCTGAACTCAGAAATTATGACAGTTGTTTTACTGCTCTGAGCTATGATAGAGATAAATAATGCTAAGTGGGTTGAGACAAAGTGGTGGAACACAGCGCTAAGTGCTTGCTGAAACCCATTAGCAACGGCAGTTTTGTACTCAAAATTTTGTGACCTAGAAATTCACTTGCAAATTTTGACGCTTGTGCTCTAGTGTGCATAAAACATGGCTAAGTTCTAGTCAGCGCAAATGTGCGCTGAGTTCAAATCTCTTTAGCCAGCTGTCAAAATCAGTGTAGCTTACAGGATCATCTAATGAAAATTCTCCTTCTAAAGTTATTAAACTCTTTCTTTTCTCATCAGAAATTTGAAAGGACACATCTTATGAATCTCTGGTACTGGTAAATTCTCCCAGTGTTGTTGTCATTTAGCCTTCGGAGAAAGGAAATCAAGAAATTTGTTAACTTATAAGCTTCCCAATAAGCATTGATTGCAGAGATAAAAGTAGAGAGAAGAGGTCCACTTGAGCTTTAGCGATTTTTTGTATTCTCGTCAAAACTCTCAAACCTCAAAAAACCCAAAACATTCAGTGGTGGAGATGTTTTAACCCATTCTATCTCATCGTCAGTTCAGTATTGGAGGAATGTCATTGCATATCGCTACGAATATTGAAAAAACAATAGAGTTAGACTAGCTGTCTCGTAAGTTTTCTCGAAAACCATAAATATGCTTGTTAAAAACGATCATTCAGCACCAAGAATTATTAGACAGAATGGTAAAACCTATACCAGCGAATAAAGTGATTTAATTGCAGTGTTTTAAGATTTTCTTATGTCACCTTTTTCATTCGCAATTAGTCAAGGTGCTATTACAATCTTAAGATTCCTTATCTTCAAAAAAAAAAATGACTAGCTTTGAGCGAAACGCAATTCAAAAAAATTATGTTTTTTATAAATGTTGTACGAACATTTTTGGATCAGCGTAATATTTCACTGGGATTTGCTCTGTGAAAACTTAACTTTCCGTAATCAATAAAGCTAAAGATGAAACAATAAAGTCACCGTCCTCAATGTCGACATTTTCATTTTCGCCACATTTTATGTTTGGCTTCCCTCAGCGCAGCTCATTGCTGAAAGGCACTGCTAGTTGTTCGCGCTATTTACCGAAAATATTAGCGCCGAAGAGACCGTTCTCAGACTTTCGCGCTCATCACAAGAAAAGAACCGGCTCTCTTGTTTTCGTCTATCAATTTTCGTGATTTTGCACATTTTTATTTCTGCACAGTCTGACATTGTCAGCAGAGTTTTTGTCATGGAACTCGATACGTGTTCGTATTTACAATGGGCTGTGTTAGCGCAAACTCGCCGCGAAGAACCTTTGTTAAAACCGCCTCGGAAGAATTTGAATTTGCACACTGTGAGAAGCAGAGGAAACAAACGCTCTGGTTTATTACAGCTTTTCGTTCAGCGCCTTGCCACAATTGCTAATTATTATAATAATCCATTAAGCTTTGTCTTTTTCTGTCTAAGAATCATCAATGTGTATAGTAAGACAACGCTTCATGACATTTTCTATTGATGTTATGATTTTGAAATTTTTTTTAAAAAAATGATAAAATTTCAGGGGTAGCTGAAAGCATTTAGCAAACCATCTTTGAAGTGCGTTACCACAAAAAAAGTTAATCAATCGAATATGATAAGCCGCCTGCGAAATCTCGGTTACTTCAGTTACATAATTGTGATGTAATTGCATTTGTTGATTTTTTCAGATAATTCGACTGAAAAAACACTTTTCTGGTAATCATTACATGTGAATATAGTGAAAGACCTATTTATTGTAGATACAGACTTTCTAAAATTGCTCGATAACTGTCTTGCTTGCGCAGAATCATGTCAAGTGAAAATCGATGTGTAGTCAATAAGAATGTTTTCAAGTGATTCGGGTGTAAGCAAGTCAAGAACTGCTCACATACTTTTTTCGAAATCAAAACTAGCTTTTTTGATTGGGGCTTTACGTAAGCTGCATAAAAACAATCTTAAATTAGCGAAAGAGTTCTGAGAAACGGTTCAACAAGTTTCGAATTCTGCTCGAAGTAGTGTTGCACGGCTGTTGAGAACTTCATGAGATCGTGATGCCAGCCAGATAATTTGAATAGATCCAGAGAAAATATCGTTTTGATATCCCAAACCTATTTTCGGGCTGTGAACGAACAAAAATATTTATTTGATGACAGGATTGATACAAGCTTTGGCTATCTAGCTAACGGAAATGAACACAATCTCTTTGTAAAAATCCAAAATACGACATCTTCACAGTTATTTGCTATAATGGATAATTTATCACTCATAAATGATAAGGCACTGATTATTTTGAAGATCAGAGTCCCTTACATGTGCTAAAATCAGTGCTTTCACAACGCTAAATCCAGCTTCAGTTTTCCGTAACATTTGCGGACTTCTGAAAAAGTTTGATCATCTCTCTCCATGCACTTTGTCATTGAAAAGTGGTTGCTTCCTGAAAATTGGATAGTTTCCAACAGTTTTTTGATTGACTGTTTGTCAAAGTGCGTAAACTCTCATATGAAACTTCCTCATCAGCTTCTTGGAGATCGTAAATCACGGAAAATCCATTAGGTCGTAACATGATTTTTGTTACACTTGAAGGAAAAGAACGTTCATAACTTACTTAAAGAATTTTTTTTCAACTGCAAATTGAGTTGAAGGCTGTATTTCCTCAACATTTTGATGACGCACATAAAAATTCCAATTTTTGAATTTTTTGATATTTTTCTGAATTATTTTAGCAAACTTCCAGCATCCGTTATTGAAGAGTCTAGACTTCCGGAGTAGTTCCGTATTAGTACTAAAGTTCCCAGAAATTCATAAAATTTAAGAGCATAAAAAGTAAGAGTGAAAGAATTTTGAAAGGGAAAAGAAAATATGGAGATTCAAGTGCCGTCACAAAATTGCCTTTATTTTTACTGTTATGGGTATTTATGAATGTATAAATGATGCTAATAGCCCTTTGTACATTGCTCATATGTAAGTTATTAGGCGTTGCTGAAGTTTTTGGAGTTTTCGGGCAAAAGTGAAAAAAGTATCACAAAACTTATGTTACGACCTAATATCAGCCAGGTTACCTCAAACAATTTCTGTCGTAAGCATAGTTCCTGTAAAGCTTTATGCTGAACCCAGTAAAAAATAAAACTCGCACTTGAATCAATCCAAGCTGAGTCAGCCATTCAATGTCTATCGGGCACTTCACTGGATGTGCTCCTCCTCAACAGAGTAAATATTACCTGAGCTCTGAAGTTGAGCGAAACTACTGTTCTACCTTTAGAAGATGTCGCGTCGTCATCCAATTCGTCGTTACAAGCCAAGTTTGGATGAAGATCAGACCAGAGATGCGATGAAGGTGAGGTTATTTTAGTTTTTTTGGAATTCCATAGCCAGTTTTTGTCTGACTCGTTTTTAACCACTCTTAATTAAGGTTTTAGAAAAATTTGTCCGCAGAAAGTATAGAGATTCCATACTTGTCGGCACAAACGATTTTGATCTCAACACATCTGAGCTTCTAACACCTCAGCCAGCAAGTCGACCTGCTTCCGGGTTTCAGTTCCCTCTTCCGAACAGGTATTCTTACAATCTTAACCTGACTGTTTTCGATTCATTTATTTTCACAGACAGTTCACATTCGATCAGTCTACCGCGAACCAGGAATTTCGTTCAAACGTACTACCCTTTTATACTTTCGATTTTACTGAACACAATGTTAAGGACGAAATCAAGTAAGTCCTGACTCACCTTTTTACAGTCTATTATCCTTGATATTGTTACAGATTTGACAAGGACAAAGAGACTTGGGCCGCGTACATATCCCGACTATTTCGCTATTTCTATGACTATTTGGGTATCTGAATCTGTCACTTTTAATGATTTCTAGACTACTGATTGTGAGTTAGATGTTAAGGTATGAAGCATCTGGCATTAATTCTAATACTGGTGCTTTATGCGTTAGCTGGAGGACTTATCTTTATGATAATTGAATTTCCTGAGCAACAAAAGGCAGATCAGGAGTTGTTGAAGGTGGGATTTTATAGTAAATATTGATTTTTGTAGAAAATTGATAATTCTTACAATATGCTAGAATGATGGTCAGATCTGAAAGCATCCCATTCACATTCAGGATTCGAAACAACGCCATTCGCAGCTTGCTTCATTCTTGCTACAGTCATTATACAGTAGTGGTTGTTTAAAAGAGGTAAATTGACTGTTTTCCTCAATTTTTTTGCAGCCATCGAAGTCTCTTTTTCTTTTCTTCAGTTCATTCAGGTGGGACTATCCTTTCAACAGCAGCAAGGAGATTTTACAAAATAAGACAGATGCAGATAACTGTACTTTATTTGCTTACTTGAATTTTTAGCTGAACACGAAAAGAAACTCCGAGACGCAGATAGTACATTCTAACTCACTTTGTGCTTTAACAATACGGCCAATACTACAGTCGTACGATGAGTCAATACGTAAAGTTTTGGCTCCACAAGCGCAGTGGAAATGGGACTATTGGAATTCCGTATATTATGCTGGCACCATATTTACTACCATTGGTAGGTTTTTTTTCGCCTGCTCCTTTTTGAAAATTCTTTCCATATTTTTCTTAACAAGATAGCTATTTTGATTCAATGCTGTATGACGTATAAGCTGCTGTGGTAATAGTCTACCAACTTATTTTCGTTCTTTACGAATTTCTACATCTCCCTTCCCAGAATAGCGAAATCTTTGGCAGTGCTTATTGTTAGATATCCAAAAAAATGTGCAAATAACTTTTTACCTGTAACGACCAGAATTTCAAAATTACAAAAAAATTTGGAATCAGACTTACGAGAAATTTTTTCAGTTGCAACTGTAAGTCTCGCAAATTTTTGGGATATTTCAAAAAAAAAACATCCATGAGGCGACAACAACTAACAACTCTAACGCTACGGTTCCTTATTTTGAAAAAAAGACATTTTCGAACTCTTTTTTCAAACTCCCCTTTTGGTTTTCGTCACTTCATTGATTTTCCACCGTCAGCAAAAAACAGTTTCCCAGCAAAAATTTCACAACAGTAGCATAGATAGAGACCACGCTGGACGATTTCTTTTTGTCTGACTTGGATGTGTAATCATTTACTGAGCTCAGAGCTATTACTAAAAAGATTTTCTCTTGTCTGACAGCGCCAAAGCCGAATATCCCTTAACAATGCGGATGGAAGAAAAACTTGAATCAAAACATTTTCTTCGAGTCCAAAATGCACAGCTTGATTGTTTGCTAATGAAGCCCTTTAAATTATAGGATACGGTAATATCACATGCAGGACACCTATTGGCAGATTGGTCACTATTCTTTATGCATTATTCGGTATTCCGATGATGTTGGCAGTTCTAAATGTGATTGGAAAAGGTCTCTTTGGACAAGCTCAAAGCTCCTACATGTTTGTCCGTCGGTATGTCCTAAGAACATAGTCGCGAATAAATTAATTCCAAACATTTGAGGTTCTTACGGCGAAGAATACGCCGTTTCAAGCGCTCACGTCTCGACAGAGCTGGTACAGTCGAGACTGTCATTACAGAAGATCCTGGAAAGGTACTTCAATTGAATCAGAGCTTGCTTTTCAAGAGCAATTTTTATCTACAGGAAGGTGCAGAAAAAGATGACAATGGTTTAACCGAGACATTTCCTATGTCCTTAGCTATTCTGCTTGTGATCATCTACATGTTTCTCTGCTCCCTTTTGTTTTCCATCTGGGAACAGTGGGATTTCTTTACTGCTGTGTACTTCTCATTCATATCAATGAGTACTGTTGGCTTCGGCGATGTTATACCAGGACACCCAAAATATGCTTGTGGTTTGTTTTTTCTTCTCAATTATCAGCGAAAATGTTCGGTATACATACATTCTTTTCAGTTTTCTTTGCCTTTTACTTCGTCGGATTGGCGCTGTTCTCTATGTGTTATGCTATCATTCAGGTTGGGTAATTTTCAGATCTTATGAAATTTTCTATATATGTGCCCATCAAGACGTGGCGAAAAATATCGGTGAAATGTTGAAACGTGATAGCTATTATGATACTGTTGAACTTCAAGCTTCTCCCCCCCCCCCCTTTAAAATTTTATCCTTTTATATACTGACGATAGCAGAGGTGTCCAACTCATGAATCATACTGCGTACTGCAATGTTTGAAAAGCAGTTTTTACTGACTTGCAAACACTTTGCCAAATGACGGGTACTCCAGAGTTTTTGGAATAAAGCATGACTCAACTATCTTGTTTCATGAGGTTGAAGTAATGATTCCGAACACTTCTACTTTTATTAACCGCAAAAGCAGACCGTAAGAACCATTTGATTATGTAGATTTACGTTTTCATATCAGCAAATTATTGAAAACTTCAATATCACCCAGAAAACAAAAAAGTAATAAATATGAAATTCAACTCAATTTGCTCATAAAATCTCGCATCCCAATTATTGTAAGTCAGCCTTTATTAGGTCCGGTGGGAAAACCAGTACATGTGGGCTCTGCAGTTGATCGATCAAGAAAATCAAGAAATGATAGAACATCAGGATATCCCTGAAGAGCTTGAGGAAAAGGAACGGAAAATGACGGGTACAAACAGCGAAATAAATTAAATTTTTTGTGAATAAAAAAAATCAGCTGAAAATTGTAGGTGACAATAACTCATCCATACGATGGCGATCTCCACATTCTTACAGCTCCAACAGCGGTGATACACATCTAGATGACATGTCAAGCAATCGTCGTAGTACTGGTAAATTTTGATCTACTCGAGTCATGACTCAAACAAGTTAAATCTGACTTTCTAGTAATATTGGATTCCAAGGATATGCCCGTTGTTCCGCCACCAGTTCTTGGCGTTTTTCTATCGCGCTCTATCTCAACGAGGCAAAATAAACTGACAAGATCCGAAAGTACTTTGAGTCGTAGAGCGAGACGGTGAGTTCTCATAATTTAAATTGAATTTAATCGTATTTGTAGAGGATAGGCAGACAAAAGACATCCTCGACCGCCCTTTCCAAAGGAAGTAAGGCACACGCCGTAGTTGATCCACCTGGGTCGCTTGACCCACTTGATACACTTCATCCACTTCGTTATTGGTCAGTTCAATGATTCGACAGTAGTGAAATGGATCAAATGGATCACGCGGATTGAGTGGACCAAATACGCCGTGAGGGGCGGAGACATGAAAGTGTGGCTGGACCTACTCTGTTGAAATATAGAAGCCGATAAAAGGAAGAAACACGCGCATTATTGAGGCACTGCAGCTAATTATAGCTACCTAGCTGCAACGGCGCAGAAAAGGAGTCCGCAGGCTATTGCGGCAGCAGCGTATCGACTACCGGGTTACCGGATAGAATATACCTCGTGCGATTTCTCTAAAATCGCAGGGGTACGCGATCTGGCAATTTGCAAGATGTCCGCAAATCTACCACACATGCAATTCAAGTGCGTAGGCGCATAACTTTTGTAAGCATATGTGTACCTGCCAATTTTTGCATGCAGAGTATAGCCCTACGGAAGATTATTAAAAATTGTAGCAATCAGAATTTGCGCGGTGACAAGGTATGACCGATCCCATAGAGAATTAGATCGCCGAAAGGTAAGGTCCCACGCGGACATCTGCAACAAATTTGTGCTTCTGTCCATCACAGCTCGTGGTAGCGTCCGCGTATATGTAGCCTACTGGCAAGTCTCAAAGTAATCCCTTAAGAAGTAGGCGACCCTTTATTCGCGACTTTTTTTACGGCCGTGTAGTTTCTAACCAGACTGAAGCGAGATTCCTATACCCTTCATCTTTTGATTGCTGCTGCTATTACTTTACTCTCATGTTCATTTTCCGTAAAACGTGTGACATACACTTTGAGGTAAAACCGCGCTGCTTTTGGTATGCTGACATAAAGGTTTCTACAGAGTGGCAAGCTTTTCGCACCTTCGATGCACAATTTGATCAGGAACATTACAGGTCCTTCTTTTCATCGAGCAACAGCGAAAGTTTTTCGCCCCTGGACGGCAAGTAAGTTACCCTTCGATTCAACTGGCTTGGCGGCTGGATGGCGGGGCCCGTGACCTAATTAAGTCTAGATAACGATTAGAGAGCACGCGCCGGCCTTAATTAGGTCACAAAGACTCCTTCCAGCCGCACAAGCCAGTTGAGTCAAAGGTTATCATATTTTACAAAGCACCAAATAATTAACTTCATTTAGGTCTCCATGGTTGTCGGTATCGACTGATCCACAAATCTCACCAGGACCACTAGGACCGAAATCAGCAGGCTCAGCTGCCAGCTTACTCCAGCGCGATTTTCAAGCTCACAAGCTGTCGGCAATCAACGAGGTCAGCGATGAGGATACACTGCAGTCACGACGTAGCTCGAGAAAAATACAACGAGTTCATGCGGTCGAGGTGACGCCACTGTCCACTCCCACCGTTGTCGTGGAAAATGCTGACGAACAGCATCAACCAGATGAACTCGATGACTCAACTGAGATTACGCCCCTGTCACCGCAGAATGTGGAAGAAGAGACTACAGAAACGGACAAGTCGGAATACAGGTTACAAAGGCCGAGCCACTTATGAGATTCTTTCTCGCAACTTTTAAATTCATTTGGTAACTAATCTTGTTTGTTAATAAAATTGTACATATACGTTATTTTGAAGAACTTTGCCATCAGGTTTGCAATCAGTTTCAAAAAACGTATGTCACTACCGTATGCTATAAGTTTTCTGACTTTCGTAAGTGTTGCTAGAAGCCGAAGGTAAGCATTTATCTGAGTGGGATTTCAGAGTGTCGGGAACGCTCCTTAAAGTTCGAATTTTAAACCAACAACATTTTCATACTTAGTCTAAACAAGCTTGACCCCTTCTCTTCTTAAAAGCTTTTTAGAGACTAGACATGAGCTAACCTAATGGATGCTTTCTTATTTTCTTTGGTGCGAATTGTATCCCAAGTATTTTGAACTGTGTTGAACACGGCAGGTTTCTCAGTATCAAAAAAGCAGTGGAAAATCGCGTGGGACGTGTGTTAATAAACGTCAGTCATACACTGGACCTGGCGCCTAATATATAGTATTGTTGAAACGATCAAAAAATATCGTCGAACGAACAAAGATCGAATTTGGCTTTTGGAAAATATTCGAACGGGCGAATATTATTCGAACTGTGATTTTCAGATTATTCGAATTCGAGTGTTCGAATTATGCTACATTTCAAAATTCAAACGAACCAGTATTCGAATAAATGAGGTTGGTGGAGAATTCGACCTTGAATATTCGTATAATCTAGTGGCTCAAACATAGCTTGTTTTTCTCTTCGTTGCAGTTTTCTGCAGAAAAAATTAATCGCTATTTTTGATCTAGATTTGTAGCTGATAATTATATGCCAGCAAGTGGTAAGGATGACGGGTTATTGTTGCTTGGTCAGGGTCTACCTAGGAAACAAAAGAATTTTACCCAAACATGTAGTTCAAGGTGTTCATTGTCTTCCGAGCGACTACTAAGCCTTACTTACAAGGGAAGCTACCAGCTCGGCCTTTTGTCATGGGACATATACGTTCTAAATCAGCTTCAAACGCTGATTCCAAATATGCATATTCTTAGCTGCCGCGCATCATTCCAAAGCAAGTTATGGGTTTTTTTCTGCGTAAAACTGGCATACTCATCGACTCATTAGTGTCACGGCATCATCATCTAAATGCAAATTTGCGTTAAGCTTCTTTTTAGTGAAAGAAGATTCGTTTGTGTTATTTCGGGATTTCAGCACCTTTTTCTTGCAAATTTCTATATAAAAGCTCTCTTCGTATGTTCAGTAGTATGCCAATTTTGCGCAAGGAAAAGCCCATAACTTTCTTCGGAATGGTCGGCAACTGGGAATGACATTTTTGAAATCAGCGCTTGAAAATAATTCAGAATATATATGACTAGCGACCCTACGGGTCGCTAGTAAGTGGGTTGGGTCAGATACATTGATAACTGTCAGCATGCAACTAAGAATTGCAAGAGACTGAGTTTCCATTTTGTCTATCTTTGGCGCAATGTAAGTAGTAGTAGAAGCAAGACTATGCTCTCAAGGAAACTTTTGACAATTGGTACTCCAAATTAACTATGCTGTTTTCCTTGCAAGTACCCTATCCCAGATACCACTGCTCCTTAACATTCGAATCACCTCAGCAGCCATCTATGTAGAGCACCTGATTCAACCTGAAACTCAAGCTCACTCAGGAGAACTGTGCAACGGCTGCAAACATACCGACCTTTGCGATGCACAGTCCTATACTTTCCTTATTATGTCTCGCTAAGAAAAGGTCATTAATTGAAGCGATACCAAAGCTTGCCTAAGCTTTCTTCTGAACAGTCTTAGCAAAAATGTCCTGCCGCCTAAAGTCCTGGGTCTTCTTTCTCCCAAGAAGATTAAGCTTATCTTGCTATTTTTGGTTTTAAGAGCAGAAGTATATAGGCATATATCTATATATCTCGCCAATTAGGAACATTTCCATTTTCTCAACGATCTTTGACGCAATGTAAGTAGTAGAAGAAGCAAGATCATACTTTCAAGGAAAAGGTAAATCTTTCAATGCGGCTCAAATTTCGTAAAACTATCCCCGAGTGAAATTAGGGCTCTGCATGATCGCGAAGATGGGTAAATACACCATTGCTTATGTGTGAGCTCTCTTCTCTTCACTCTTTCAATCGCTTTTTCTGCAATCATAGTTGGCGTTCTATTGCCTGTAGCGATCCTGAAAAATATGGCGATTGTTTACCTAGATGAGGGCCTTGTGGAATTTCTTCCAAGAACTGACCGCAAACGCACCGGCCTTCGCGATCACAGCTTGATACCTTGATAATGTCTCCCTATAGTATATGGAGTCATTCCTTATAACGAGACTAAGGCCCGTATGCACGTACGTCCCCGCTGGGGAGGGGAGGGGAGCTGGATCCCCAGGGGAACGATCCCCTCCGCCGAAGCCCGCCATGACAGAGGGGAGGGGAGCGATCCCCTCCCCTCACCTAAGTGGGGATGGTGTGAATGGTTTCAGAGGTATTGATCGAGCGAACCCCAGTGCATACGGGGTTCGAATGGGGGAGGGGATCCCTTCCCTTCCCCCACTCGAACCCCGTATGCGCGAATTCAACTCAGTAACGCGGGGGAGGGGATCGACATCCCCTGCAACGAAGTAGGGGTTCGATGGTGTAGATCATGCCAGAGACGCGGATATTCTGGTTCTGCTCAGTCATTACCAAGCATTTCGTTCATTTTGATGGAGGATTTTCTTTGAAAGCCGGGTTCTTCTCTCAGCGACCTGTGGCTTGCAATTTGTCTTTCTT